AAGGACACGCACACAGGGATAGGAAAAGATACTGGAAGGCAACACGCCAAAATGTTGCCAGTAATATTTCTGGGCAATTTCCTTTCCTTTATTAACTATTGTGTACTACCCACATTTTCACAATGAGAAAGATTTCCCTGTACAAACAGATAGCAGTAAAAAGTTTTAGGAACAAACATTAGACTTCAAAGTAGGGAATAGTATGCAGTTTTATTCTCAAACTACCTATAGTGTTGTTGCAGCTGCTCTCTTGGTTCGGCCTGGTTTTGAAGTCCTCTCCGAAAAACGGCGCTGGCATGCTGCAGCTCCCCCTGGCCTTCTAGATGTTCGGCCCAGGCTATGTACAGAGGCGATGACATGGTCCCGATCCCATGATTGTACAGAAACTCAAAAAACTGATGAAGATCACTGTTGTACTCAGCCTACGAAAACCCAAAGTGAACAGATGTAAGAACAAAGGAACTGCTGGTCTAGGTATGGCTCAGAGCCTGGCTCCCTTCAATGTTACTTTTTTTTTTTTTTTTTTTTTAATGTTTATTCATTTTTGAGAGAGAGAGACTGAGTATAAGTGGGAGAGGAGCAGAGAGAGAGGGAGACACAGAATCCAAAGCAGGCTCCAGGCTGTCAGCACAGAGTCCGATGGGGGGGCTCGAACTTAAGAACTGCGAGATCATGACTTGAGCCGAAGTCAGACGCTTAACCGCCTGAGCCACCCAGGCGCCCCCAATGTTTGCTCTCCATAGAGGCTTCAGGATACACTCTGTAGGGCAGGCTTGTGTGGCCTCTGACAGCAAACCTAAAAATTAAGCTCATCCCTTTCCTTACCCGCACTGTTTCCCAGGATAGTGGCTTCCATAAGGACTCACGCTGTGTTACAGTTGTCTTACTCTGAGCTTGCCCAAATGCCACAGGGTGCCTCTAATCCTACTATCTTGTAATTTAGTGAACAATCTATTTTAACTCTATCCATCATGATTACTAGAACCTGTGCCCCCAAAGCCTTTATTTCAGACTGTAAAGACACAACCGTTTAAAGCCTAACGGGAGGCAGCCTGTTCCTAGGGCAGTACCAGTACTAAATTTAGTTCCTGAGAGTTAATATTTTCTTAATTTTTCACAATGAATTTCATTTACTCCCAGGGACCCTCTGAGTACCCGGCAGTGCCCGCTTATCCTTCCCTCTCCAAACACACCTCTCATCCAACCGACCTTTTAATTTAGTGGTTTCTATCCCATGTCATAACACTTACTGACTTGATAGGCAGAGGAAGGTCTTCAAATTAAATGACTGACTCCATAATACAAAAGCCAAAATGTTCTAAAATACAAGTCTCTGGCCATACAACTTTTAAAAATTTATGACTGGAAGCAGAGGAATTAAAATAAGACAGTCTAAAATGATCTTAGAATCTGGGGAAAAAAAAATAAAAATACAATATGATTACAGATTTGATTATACATCTGAAAGTATACTTACAAATTTTAAACAATAATTGATGAATCTTGGATCATTGTGGTATTTCTTCTTATCTAAAAATTCTTTCATTAAATGTTCTAATAAAGTTGTCAAGTAGTTCTTATTCTCAGGAAAGTTCTCTTCTACCCACCGCATGTAACTAGAAAAATATGGATAATATTAATTTTTAGGGCAGCATATAGTTTGTTTGAGAGAAGGAGCGAGCATGAGCTGGGGAGAGGGACTTTTTTTTTTGAGAGAGAGTGCGTGAGCGAGCGTGCGTGTGCAGGGCAGAAGGGGAGAGAGGGAGAAAGAGAGAAAAAGAGAGAGCGAGAGCAAGAGAGACAGAGACAGAGAGAGGGAAAGAGAATCTCAAGCAGGCTCCACACTCAGCACGGAGCCCCATGAGGGGTTCAGTCTCACAACTATGAGATCACGACTTGAGCCAAAATCAAGAGTCAGATGCTTAACCAACTGAGCTGCTCAGGTGCCCCAGAGAAAGAGGGAATCTTTAGGCAAGATCTGCGCTCAGCGTAGAGGCTGATGTGGGGCTCAATCAATCCCACGACCCTGGGATCATGACCTGAGCCAAAATCAATAGTCAGTAGCTCAGCCAATTGAGCTGCCCAGGTGCCCCGGCACAGTTTGTTTAAAGGAAAAAAATAAAAAATACGCTAACCTTTCCCATTCACCGAGTGGGTCATCCCCCTTGTAGCTCTGCATATGGGCTTCAAACATTCTAGAACAGAGAAAAATATGCACGTGACTTATTAGGGATAATTCCTAAAAGCAAAAGATATATTTTATTTTATGTGTATCATTTACAAACCTCAAAATTGAAATCTTAAATATCAGTTCAAATGCTATATTAAAAATTAAAAGATTATTCACTTGGAAGTTGTCACAAAACTTGGACGCAGTGTTTTTCCAGAAGAAAGCAAAACCCAAGACCCTGAAGTTAGCCCTTATGAAAGAGATGGTTGGAAGAGGGTCCCAGACTCTATGTTTAGGCCCTAAAAGTCTCCTCCTGTCATGGATGCCTCATGTCACTACCATCCTGAAGGGCAGAGTCCAGAAGTTTGCTATTCCTCTAATGGTGGGACCCCCTCCTCTTGCGCCCAGGAGCTTGGTGGAGACTTGGCTAGATGGAGACCGGAAGGGGGCCTGTGAGTGGGCATAGGAGTATAGGGTATGACCAACCAGGTTTCCAGATACAGTGTGCTTTCTGGGCCTCAACCAACATGGCATCCCTGAGGAAGAACATGTAATGGCAACATTTGTATATCAGTGACTATAGCTCCCAGAGAACTCTGCTTGTTGCTACTTCGCATACTCAACCACAGCTTAAAAGAAAAAAATCAGCTGGGCAAAGCAATGTTCTCTAAGGGAACTTAGGCGCTTGGGGGGTAAACAAACAAATACCTAAAATAAAGTCAGGTGACATTAGCACTTTGGAAAAAAAAAACAAAACCAAACAAAATGGGACATGAGGTAAGAGTGTGACAAGAGTTAGAAGTTTTAGAGTGGTCAGGGAAGGCCATTCTCTGAGAGAATGACACTAGCTAGATATGAGAGCCAGAGAGCCAGCCAAGCAGCTGAGCTAGAAGGGTGGGGTGACAAAATGTAATTTGCATTTTAAAATGTCCATTCTGCTGGTCCAAGCCAAGGTGGGTGGAATGGAACAGAAGTGGGAAACCAGTTAGGAAGGAAGCTACTACTGTCCCAGTGGGTGGTGAGCTGGACCAGGGTAGGAACAGTGCAAGTATGGATCTGGGGTGTTTTGGAGAAAGACAATGAGACTTGCTGGGTGTGAGTGAGAGTCAAGCTAAGAAAGAGTCTCGGGTTTTCTGTTGGAGAAATTACACGATTTTTGGAAAAAAGGATTTGAAAGCAATACTTTCCTCAAGCTATCATTTCAGTATACCAATGAAATCAATGTTTTTTAGGACTCAAAATCTGGAAGCCACAAAAGAAAAGCTAGATAAAGTAAACTGTATATAAATAAAAAGCTTCTACATGCAAATAAAATATTAAATAGAACCAAAAGAGAAATGATAAACTGGGATAACAAAACAGAGCTTCTAAAAATTAGGGGGAAAAAGAAGACATCCAGATGGCCAACAGACACATGAAATGATGCTCAGTGTCCCTCATCATCAGGGAAACACAAATCAAAACCACACTGAGACACCACCTCACGCCGGTCAGAGTGGCTAAAATTAACAATTCAGGAAACAACAGACACTGGTGAGGATGTGGAGAAATGGGCACCCTCCGACACTAGTGGTGGGAATGTAAACTGGTACAGCCCCTCTGGAAAACAGTGTGGAGGTTCCTCAGGAAACTAACAATAGAACTCCCCTAGGACCCAGCAATAGCACTGCTAGGAATTTACCCAAGGGATACAGGAATGCTGATGCATAGGAGCACATGGACCCCAATGTTCATAGCAGCACTTTCAATAATAGCCAAAACATGGAAAGAGCCTAAATGTCCATCAACTGAGAAATGGATAAAGAAGATGTGGTTTCTATATTCAATGGAATACTACATGGCAATGAGAAAGAATGAAATCATGCCGTTTGCCGCAACGTGAATGGAACTGGAGGGTATTATGCTGAGTGAAATAAGTCCGTGAGAGAAAGATAGATACCGTATGTTTTTACTCATATGTGGATCAGGAGAAACTTAACAGAGGACCATGGGGGAGTGGTAGGGGGAAAATAATTAGAGAGGGAGGGAGGCAAACCATAAGAGACTATTAAATAGAGGGAACAAACTGAGGGTTACTTGGGGGGAGAGGGGGGAGTGGGTGATGGGCGTGGAGGAGGGCACTTGTTGGGATGAGCACTGGGTGTTGTATGGAAGTCAATTTGACAATAAATTATATTCAAAAAAAGAAATTGAGGGAAAAACAATAAAAAAATTAAAGGCATTCCACAGGAAATGGACCCCCCAAGTGCCACCGTGGCCGCAGCTCTGAGGAAAAGGACCCGGGTCTCTGCAGACAGCTCCAGTTACACCGTCCGGGTCCTTTCCAGGACCACGAGTGTGACCCACAGCCTAGCTGGGTGGGAGTGAGGGCAGGGAGGTGACAAACCACAGCCCAGGAAAGGGGCGGGAGGGACAAAAGGAGGCAGGACTGTGGCCTGCGGGCCGAGGAACTTCAGACCCCGAATCTTAGGTGTCGCAGCCCACTCCTCGGCCCGCAGCCCGGGACTGGGCCCCCGCCTCGCCCCCATCCCACCAGACCAACACTTACTGAAAGACATTTTCGGGGCTATCCATGGCGAGAGGACACGGACCAGCAGAGACACAGCGGCGCCTCCAGCGAGGAACCGCCGACGATTTGAATCTCCCGCGCAGCCGCACTTGGCGCAACAAGCGTTTGCAAGAGGCCTGTCCATTGGTCTGGGCTCTAGACGGGATGGCCAATCGCCGGGGCCGTTGCCCGGAGACCGTTATCCCGCCTCCCTCCCGAACGCCTCGAGTTCCTTCCACTTCCCCGCTCTTCCGGATTGAACCGAAAGCTCCGAGCCCGCAATGTGGGTTGAGTTTTGCGATGCCGCACAGCCCTAGGATTTTTGCTTAGGAAACTGCAATGTGAGGGCACGTCGGTAGGCACTTCAGAGCTGTTTTAATAGATTATATATGGCATATGAAGATGATGGGTTAGTACCCTTGGAGACCACTGGGCTTGATTTAACTGATGGGGTGCCCCAGAGCGTGGGAGGGCTAGGTTCTGCGGACTCTGCCTGCATCCGAATGGTAATTATAATGAGAACGGAAGAGTTTGGATAGATTATAGACTGCCAACCAGGAAACTTTCAACATCTGTGGAAATAGGAGCTCCGGGGACTCAAGACCTCTTTGTAAAGGAGCCAGATGTCTAAGAAGAAGTACGTAATATGCTGATTTATAGTACGTCCCATTCTACCTCTCCAGGTTGTTTCAAAAACCACTTGACAATGCAAGTAAAATACAGAGAGCTATTCATGTGATTACTTTCCTTTTACAGAAACTCTGTGGGTGTTTGCTCTCTTAGAGCCCTTAAGTTAAATACCTTAAAAAAAAATAGCAGCTTTTGGATGCTCTCACCGTCCAGAATTCCTTCGATGGTTTTGATCAACTTGGATGTACACAAGAATCCGATTTGTGGCATTTAAAACACAGAGGGTGCTCATTCTGGGAACTTTAGACCAATGTTAGATTCTGCTAACCATCACAGGAATTAATAGATTGTTGCACATATGCAGCTTTTCAGCTGCGTCTGATAGTGGCTCAGTCATCAATTAGGAAATGTTGATTGAGCAGCCATCATCATATACCAGGTGCCATTGGATTTATACCCAATTGCAACCTTGTCTAACCCAAACAGATCCTTTTGTGATCTAAGACTAGTGGCTTTGTCTGGGGGATGAAGACGCAGTCATAGAAAACCATTTAAAGGTGGCATACACATGTATTAAGTACCATATTAGGGTTCAGATTATCTGGTAGGGGTTCCAGAGGAGGGAGGGGAAATGGACCTTTCTGTCTTCATAGGGAAGGTGGGGCTTGAATTGGGCCTTGAAGAGGAGTGGATCTCTCCTTCACTATAGTAGCATTTTTTTAAAAAGTGACTTTGGTAGTTTCTCATGACACCTGCACACAAGGTATAGGGTTATTGTTGGGTTAGACTTTTGCCTTCCACAGTGGCAATCTGCCCAGAGAGATTCTATTACAAAGAATAAACAAGAGCTCTGAGAGCCTCACAAATTGCCCAAATCCCCCTAAACTGCCACGTTAGCTATAGCCCAGCCAAGGAGGGCCAGGGTGTCAGCGGAGAGCACAGGCTACATGGTCAGGGGCCCTTCTTCCACTCAGGTGTGGCCCACAGCCTAGTTGGGGTAGGGTGAGGGTGAGGTGGGGACAAACTTCAAAACCAACAAAAGGGGCAGGAGGGGCAAAAGGAGGCAGGATTGGGGGAGATCCTGGAGGAGGTCATTCTTGGTGTAGACCAGGGTTATTAAAGGATCATCCTTGGGGCGCCTGGGTGGCTCAGTTGGTTAAGCGTCCAACTTTGGCTCAGGTCATGATCTCACAGTTCGTGGGTTCGAGCCCCGTGTTAGTCTCTGTGCTTACAGCTAGCTCAGAGCCTGGAGCCTGCTTCAGATTCTGTATCTCCCTCTCTCTCTGGCCCTCCCCTGCTCACGCTGTCTCTATCTCTCAGAAATAAATAAAACAAAAAAAAAAAAAGGATCATCCTTGAGGACTCCTTTTTATGAGTAGTGGAGATTCTTTTTGAAAGGCTAGTTTGATAATTTGATATTAAATCTTGAATGCTAGATTAAGGAGTTTGTACTTGATCATGACAGTAATTGGTCCTTTTGGGAGCAGGAGGTCTGGTTATGTGTAAAGTACACATTTCCCACTTCAGGGGCAGACATGTGTAGTTACAACTTTCTCTTTCTTTAAAACTCTGATAATTTCAGTATTAAATTACTAACTATATTAGTAAGGTTCTCTAAATTTTTAGGAATACCAATAGTTAAAGTATTTGTATTTGGGTTTTCAGTGACTTGTTATTTCAAACAATAATCTCCATACTTACTGGAGGAAGGACGCCAGGCCACACCACAGGATAAGCTCCAACCTCAACTTTCCCAAGGAGCAGCCAATGGGCAAATGACTCACATTCTTCATCTGGCTCCCAGTTTCCTGATCTGTAAGATGAAAAAAGCAATCTGCCTCCTTGTCTTCCTGTTTCTCCGACTTCTGCCATCCTATAATCTCATAAGGTTTTTCACTTAATTCCTGAACTCTCTTGGCTTGTCACATGATATCAAAGTTAGCGGTCTATTTAGAAAAGAAAAACTGATTATTTTTCTCCAGGTTTTGCCTCTTTGACATATGCATATAGCACAGAGACACATATATCTTCCTTCTCCTGGGAATCTAGAGCAATTTAGAGTAGCGGTATTAGATGTGTTGCTGAAACATCATATAAGATTGGAGATTTATAATTAGAATAGTTACAGAAAACTGACGAGTGTTTTAAGGGACTATGGGATATTAAGGCCTCTGTGGTCAAATATATATATATGTACACACACATACATGTATACACATATATACACACATGTATACATATATACTTGTATGCACACACACACACACACACACATATATATATATGTACTTCTCATATATGTTTGGTCTTCCTCTGCAGTTTCTGGCTTTCAGTTCACAAAACCTTTGCAGTTTCATTGAGAAAATGAGGAGGATATTAAAGGTATCTTTTGTTATGTTAATGCTGTGGCTTTTGGAAAGCACCTAAGTATGGGAGCTGGTTGTGAAGGCCAACTATGTGATTGGAGGGTTGGAACTTTCAGTCCACCCCACCATCACCCATAAGCCCCAACCTCAGGAGAGGGGAGGGGCTGAAGGTTGAGAGTCAATGACTAAAGACTTAGTCAATCAAGACTATGCAATGAAGCTTCCATATAAACCCAAGAGGGCAAGCTTTTTGGTCTTTTTTGTTTTTCAGAGAGCATCCACACTTGGGGAACCAGACTGCTTCCACGTGCAGCCAAATGACACCAAGCTCCATGAGGACAGAAGCTCCTTTGTTTGGAACCTTGCTCTCTGTATCCCTTCATCTGGCTGTTGATTCATATCCTTTAATAAACTGGTAAATGTAAGTAAATGTTTCCTTGAGTTCTGTGAGCTGCTCTAGCAAATTAATCAAGCCCAAGGAGGAGGTGGTTGGAACCTGCAATCTGTAGCTGGTTGGTTAGAAGCATGGGTAACAACCTGGGGCTTGTGGCTGGTACCTGAAGTGGGTGTAGAGTACAGTCTTGTAGGACTGAACCTTTAACCTCTGGAACCTGATGCCACATCTGGGTAGATAGTGTTAAGATTTAAGTTGAATTTTCTGATATCCTGCTGGATGCCCTGCTGGTGTCTGGAAAGTGCTTGGTGTTGTGGTAGAAGGTGGGGGGAGTGATCCCCCCTTGCCATGTTGGAATTGGATCCAGAAACCTTAAAACACTATAATACTACTGTTACTTCAGATGCCAGCCACACTTCTGACTGACTGGCTACAAATTCAGGGGTTCCTACAACCTTCTCCAGGCTTGATAATTCATTAGAATGACTCACAGAACTCAGGAAGCTTACAATTACAGTTTTATCATATTTTTTTTGAGAGAGAGATAGAATGAGCTGGGGAGGGGCAGAGAGAGAGGGAGACACAGACTCCAAAGCAGGCTCCAGGCTCTGAGCTGACTGTCAGCCCAGAACCCGATGTGGGGCCGAAACCCAGGAACCATGAGATCATGACCTGAACTGAAGTCAGATGCTTAACTGACTAAGCCACCCAGGCGCCCCAGAACATGAGACTTTGAATGTTAGGTTTGGGTTGGTGGATGTAATCTCCCTGAATTGATAATGCCTGGTGTACGGAGGAAGGTACTGTTACTAAACATACATTAACTTGAAGTGGCTACTCAGCCTTTGCAGCATTTACCTAAGTTATATTTCTATCCCATGAAGCTTTCTGCCTGGCCTTCTACTGTTGAGGTCACTGTTCCTACTGTCACCCTTGTACTGTCATCTTGTATCCTTGTATCTTTGCAGTCCCTTTGCTTTTGCATGTCGATGCACTACGTCACTAACCCCTGTGTTGTTTAAGGCTCAACTGTAGTTCTTTTGCCTTTATTGGGCTATATTCCTAGTGGGCTCTACAGTCAAAGTAATGAATTTAAGGTCTGAAATAATTTTGCTCTTGTGGTTACGCCACAATGGAATTGCATACATTTGTTTCAGTTTGCTTCTTGATTTTTAGGGACTGTTTTTTTTTTCCTGTTAGATTTAATGTTTTTTTAAAATGTTTATTTTGAGAGAGAAAGAGAGAGCATGTGAGTGGAGGATGGGCGGAGAGAGAGAGAGAGGAGAGAGAGAGACTCCAAGCAGGCTTCATGCTGTCAGTGCAGAGCCCAATGTGGGACTCTGTCTCATCGACTGTGAGATCATGACTTGAGCCGAAATCAAGAGTCAGACGTTTAACTGACTGAGCCACCCAGGCGCCCTTAGATTTAATATTTTCAAGTTATGTAAAAATTTACCAAGTTCCAAAGTCAAAATTATAAAACAAGGTGTATTCAGCGAGGTTTACCTTCCACCTCCATTCCCTCCCTCCTTCTACAGGCAACATCTACAACATCTTATTAGCTTTTGGTTTATCCTTATTTCTTTTTGAAAATGTAAATGTACAATATACACATTCCTCCTAGTATACAAATGATGGCAGATTTTACACATTGTTCCTCACTTGCTTTCTAATCAGTAGTGCATCTGGCCATCCTTTGCTTGTCAACATACAGAGAAAATCCTCAGAGTGGGATCCATGGACTTCACAGAGGGAAGCTCTCCCTGCCTTGGACCAGGAATTTGTCTCTTGCAGGAGGGATAGGACAAATCCAACTTGGCCTCAAAACTGGCTGGTCTTGCTCTGGGGAGCCAGGGAAAGGCACCATGATGGTTTACAGCTTGATTGCTTCCAAAAGTGAGGATCCATGGGAATCAAGCCCAGAGCCCCTGATGTCAGACTGCCTGCTGTGGGCGCTCCCAGCATGCACTACTGGGCCTGGCAAGGCGGTGAAGCCTGTGGTAAGCCCACTGAGTCTGTTTGCAGACTTCATCCTGGGGGAAAAGGAGGCAGGCTCATCAGAGGTGAGCCTGTAATGAAGCCATGGGTCTTGAGAAGGGAGGGCACTCCTGAGGACAGGGCGGTGGCTCTGTCTCGTCTCTTCCCTACTCCTGGACACATGTCTAGCTCCCGAGGCAGGAGAAGCAGTAAGTAAAAGCTGCCAGTTTCCCCATTGCAGGCTATGCTTGGGACCTAAAGGGAACCCATGTCACCTGGGTCCCTTCTCCACACACCACTCTGGGGCTCCATGTGGGGTCAGAGAGTGTCCCATGGGGGAGGCAGCACGCTCCTGGTCACATGGGAGAGACTCCTCAATGTTCCCAGAACATAGGCAACATAGGAGGAAGGGGCTTATGAAGGAGTCAAGGTTCTGCATAGGTAGGTGAGGCAAGGGCCAGGTAAATCTGAGCTGTTACCGTTACTGGATTTCCTGAAGTCCTCAGACTGGGGACTTCTATGGGGTACTGCATGGGGGACACTATAAAGCAGCTTTCCATTTCCCTCCTCAAACCTTAGCAAAGTGGCCAGACTAGGCCATTAGAAGCCATGCCCTGCAGGGTCCTCGTCTAAAAAGAGTGGACTGTCTGGACAAGATCCAAGGTGCCCCCGGTACTGACACTTTATGGTTCCATGATTTCTGTAAAACAAACTGAAGTCCCCTGAGAACAGTCCGTGCCTCCCCTGAACCCTGGATTGTAAAGTTCTTGCCCCGGGTGTCCATAAAAGCAGTGTCCATAAAGTTCCCCGAGGCCCCGGGGTGAGTGCTGCCTGAGTAATGTGACATAGGGTACGTCTATGATCCCTGGGTCCTCTGCCGGGGAGAGCAGCGTGCCCTTGGGCAAGTTGGCTAACATTATAGTCACTCCTCTGTAGAAGAACTAAAGGAAACATGGCTCTGTCAAGAACCAAGGAGCCACCACATGTGGGAATGCTCTTGAAATGTTCTAGCTGAGGGCCCACCTCTCAAACAAGGGCCAAGGGTCTGGGGGCAGCGCGAAGTACAGTCAGCAGCAATGTATGGCCTCCGTCTTGCATGGAGGGTCTAGGGCTAGAGGGCAGCCCCCGGGCACAACCCCAGATGCCATCCCCAGTCCACTGTGGACCAGGGCATCTGAGAGGGCTGTGCCACTGGGTTCTTTCATTTCCATCTGAGGCCCAGCTGTGGGGACCCTGGCTCTTGCCTCAGCCTTCTTCTGCCTGATAAGGACTCAGCTGCCCTGTGGAGTGGGCTGCAGTGGAGGGGGAGGTGGGGAGAGGAAGAAGGAGAAGAGAACACTGGTGGACTTGGAGTAGCTGGTGCCAGCTGTTTCTGATCCTGCCCTTCCCCAGTTAGGATGTCCAAGCCTTCCTTAAATTTTGTGAATGAATGCATTCCATTTTGCTGAAGAGAGTTCAAATTGGGATTTATTACTTATAAGTGAGGAAGTCTTGGTTCGTGTAGACAGTCCGAGGGTGCCCTATTTTTTTTTTTCATCCTGATATGCTCTTTAGTCCTCTTTCCCCGTTTCCCCCACCTCCCTACGCACCTCCCCTCTGGAAACCATCAGTTTGTTCTTTATAGTTAAGAGTCTGCTTTTTGGTTTCTCTGTCTCTTTTTTTCCCTTTGCTCACTTGTTTCTTAAATTCCACATATGAGTGAGATCATACAATATTTATTTTTCTCTGACTTATTTTGCTCAGCATTATACTCTAGGGGGACAACATTTTATGTCTTCTCCCTCCCTCCCCTCCTCTCTCTCTCTTTGTGTGTGTAAGTACCTACATATACACATGTGTGTTTATATAATTTTTACATAGTTTTTTCCTTGATATCTAGAGAAAGTTGTGCTTTTACCTCTAAATACTTCAATTTGCATTCCTTTTTTAAAATTTATTTATTTTTAGAGAGAGAGTGTGTGTGTGCAAGTATGGAAGGGGGGGGAGAGAGAGAGAGAGAGAGAGAGAGAGAGAGAGAGAGAGAGAGAGAAAATCCCAAGCAGGCTCCACACCATTAACTCAGAGTCTGACATGGAACTGGAAAACTCTCACAGACTGTGAGATCATGACCTGAGCTGAAATCAAGAGTCAGATGCTTAACAAACTGAGCCTCCCAGGTGCTCCCAATTTCCATGCTTAAAAAATAAGAACATTTCTGGGGCACCTGGGTGGTTCAGTTGGTTAAGTGTCCAACTTCGGCTCAGGTCATGATCTCACGGTTTGTGAGTTCCAGCCCTGGGTTGGGCTCTGTGCTGACAGCTTGGAGCCTAGAGCCTGCTTCAGATTCTGTGTCTCCCTCGCTCTCTGCCCCTCCCCCTCTCACACTCTGTCTTTCTTTCTCAAAAAATAAATAAACATTAAAAAAATTAAAAAACAAGACCATTCACTTATATATCTAAAGTACAATTAGCAAAATCAGGAAATTAACAATGATACAAGAGTATTTAATCTACCTTGTTTAATTTTCCCCAATTGTCCTAATCATGTAACAGTCTGCTGTGCAGCAAGGCTGTGAACCACCAATTTAAGCCAATGGCTCCACATTAGAATCACCTTTGGGGCAGAGGTTTGAAAATACAGATGCCTAGGCTCTACCTCTAGAAATTGGATTTATTTATTTATTTAGTGTGTGTGCACCACTGAGCAATTTTTAAAAACCCAAGGTCACTCTAATGTGCAGCCAATGTTCTAAACAGTTCTTTGAGCCGATAGCGGTCATTTCCTTCCATTGCTTTATCATGTTTCTAGTGATTGGTTTTTGAGGGGTATGCCAGCTTGAATAGTGCTCCTTGAGTTCATGTCCACCTGGAAACTCAGAATGTGACCTTATTTGGAAATAGGGTCTTTGCAGATGTAGTCAAGGTAAGATGAGGTCATACTGGATTAGGGTGGGCCCTAACTGGTGTCCTCAATAAGGAGAGGGAGATTTGGAGACACGGGGAAGAAGATCATGTGACCGTGGAGGCAGCTATAAGCCAAGGCGCACCAAGGACTGCCAGGAGCCACCAGAATCTA